ATAAAATCAATTTAAATAAATAAGCAATTAAATAAAACAAACAATAAAATAAAACAAACATGACAGAATTAAATGAAAAAATAAAAATGAGTTTAATAATTATACCTGTGGTAAAAGCTCTGCTCTCCTGAGCTCCGCCCTCTGTCTCCTCCCCCTCCTCTGATTGGTCCCTGTCTCAGATTCTCTCTCCTGATTGGCTCCCTGCAGATGCTGCCTGGCAGATGGATCGGCGTGTGAGTGACCTGTGGCCGCTGAGCGGCATCACTGACAGCCAGTCACCATGGAAACAGTCAGGTTGGCCCCGCCCTCTTTCATTTGCCTGTTCTTCGTCTCTTCCTTCAAAATAAAAGCACGTTGTACGTCCTCTTCCTCCTGCAGTTCAGAGCCTGATGCCCCTGCGAACGCGGGTGGGTGACCCCAGACTGGCATTCAGCTCTCAGAGGTTGGTAAAAAGGCGGGGCTTATCTCAGGGCTCCTCCTCCCTGCTCCGGCCTCCAGGGGGCGCCACGGCCGGAGAAAAGTTCAAACCTGGATTCTGATTATTTTTCTCTCTCTTCCTCTCAGGGACRTCATGAACCGCTCAGATTCTGACTCCGCCCTCCCGCTCTTTCTCAGCGAATCACAAGCTCTGAATTCCTCCAAGTCAAGTCTAAAGCCATCCAGGCTCCACCCCCTTCAACACCAAAGCTCCTCCCACAGAGAAGGAGGAGGTCTGGAGAAGAGCTCCAGTCTTGTGGAACTGAGGGGAAGCCCCGCCCTCTCCTGCTCCACACGCTCTCTCTGCTTCACGTCCAAYGCCGCCGACAGGTCCGCCGTCCTCTCATCCTCCGCCTCGTCCAGCTCCTCGGGGAGCGGCCAGGGGGGCGGAGCCTTGCTGGCGAGCAGGAGGAGCCCTGTGAAGGAGGAGGGAGGGCAGCGGTCTGACTCCTCCAGCAGCGAGAGGAGGAGAGCGTTCCGTCAGATCTTCAGGAAGAAACAGGACCGCTGCTGAGGATCTGTGAAACGCTGCTGCCTCATCTTCATCATCTTCATCATCATCACTGAGAGCCTCGTCTTCATCACTGAGAGCCTCGTCTTCATCACTGAGAGCCTCGTCTTCATCACTGAGAGCCTCGTCTTCATCACTGACATTCAGAGACAAACTGACTGAGTTTGACAACAGAAAAACTCAAACCAGTTAAATGTTTCTGTCCCAGTAGAAATGAACCAAACCACAGTTTGTTTATTTTTACTGAACGTTTGTTGGTTGAAAAGATTCACTTTGATCTTTAGGCTCCTCCTCCTCGTGTTAAAAACGTTCTTACATCAACGGTCCTTCAGGTCCAGCAGGTAAACTTGGATCCATCGTTTGAAACGTTCATCTGCTGGAAAAGTTTCACAATAAAACCATTTCCTCCTCCGGAGCAAAGCATCATGGGAAACATGGTGTGATGAATGTTTGAGACAGGTGGTGCATTCACTGACCTCCAGGCTTGTTTGGCTGCAGGTGGTGCATTCACTGACCTCCAGGTC